GATATAGCATCATTTTGGAAGATGAGCAGGCACTGAAAATGGATACATCCAGAATTCACAGGTACTAGCCAGAGAGTTGGCTGGCCACAATTGGGTACAGACATGCTATTCTACCTTTAAGACTTAAACAACTCCCAGTGCCAAAAGGATGACTCTAATTCCTCTCAGAGGTTAGTCAGCTATTCCATTGAGGAGAAAATCACTGGCTCTAGGAGTAGGTTGGCTTCTGGGTCTCCTAGCTGGCACTCCAACTAATATTCTCAAGCACACCAAGGTTTACAGTTGTGAGAGGGAACTGAGTACCAATCATCACAGCCTGTTTAATGCCTGACCAGAGCTGGCTAAACCCATCTCTCATCTCCCTAACTACCACTTGGCTAATCATTCCTCATGATAATGGTTCAGCAGAATCAAGTTATCAGCAAATAACGCAAATAAAGGACTTATTTAGAGAGAATAACATTCTTTTGGTTAATCCCTATTTTGATCTTCTCAGGGAAAAAAAATTGTTTCATGTTTTGGAAATGAGACTCCCCACTTCCCTGTACTAGGAACTGAACCCAGTGGCACACTATCACCAACCTACATTCCTAGCCCTTTTTATTTCGAGACAGGGTCTCATTAAATTGCCTAGGCTGGCCTTAAATTTGTGATCCTCCTGCCTCAGCCTCCTGAGTAACTAGGAATACTGGAATGCACCACCAGGACTGGCTGGAAACAGGACTTTGGAATATAAGGGGCAGTTTAACTTTGGTAAGATAAGCTTGCAATTTGAGTCTTTAAACTGATGGGAAATAAACACTTTGGAATCCAGAAATGTGGATTTATTTATTTTTGTTTATTTACTTACTTATTAATTACTTACTTATTGGTACTAGGGGTTGAACCCAGGGGCACCTAACCACTGAGCCACATCCCCAGCCCTTTTCTTTTCTTTCTTTTTAAATATTTTTTTAGTTATAGATGGACACAATACCTTTATTTTATTTGTTTATTTTTATGTTATCCAGGGGATTGAACTCAGTGCCTCACACATGCTGGGCAAGCACCCTACCACTGAGCCACAACCCCGACCCATCTTTTTTTTTTTTTTTTTGTATTTTATTTAGATAGAGACAGGGTCTCACTAAATTGCTGAGGCTGGCTTTGAACTCATGATCCTCCTGCCTCAGCCTCCTAAACTGCTGGGATTACGGGCGTTCATCACCATGCCTGGCTGGAAATGTGGATTCGAATCTTAGTAACAGTACTTATAGCTGCAGACTCTCAGCATCTCTTAAATCCTTGGAAGCTCAGTTCCTCAATCATAAATACAGAATACTAAAAAATATTACCTCAAAAATGTGAAATTCAAAATGCTCTTCTAAATCACAACTACTTATCAATATACTGTATCGATTTTTACATGAGATAATTAAGGCTATACAATTTTATTTAAGTACTGGGGATTGAAAAGAAAGGCTCTTAACTACTGAGTCACATCCCCAGGCTTGTTTTAATTTCTTATTTTGAAACAAGGCCTCGCTAAGTTGCTAAGGCTGGCTTTGAACTCACAATCCTCCTGCCTCAGCCTCCAAAATAGCTGGGATTGTAGGGATGTACCACTATGCCCAGCTAAGACTATTCAATTTGAAATCACATAACCCCTAGAACACAAATGGTGGCATGAGAAATAGAACTACGGAGCTCAGTATAGCACGCTAAACTCATTATAGCACAGAGAAACCTGGCCAGAATCTATACTTCCTCACTCTCAAACTGTGGAATCCTGGGAAACTTCTTTATTTCTCTAGTCTCTGGCTCATTTAAAATATGGAGTTAATACATCTAATTCATAGGACTGCTACAAAGGTAAAGGGCTTTAAACAAGTGCTGATTTATAGTTAGGGCTCAATAAATAATAACCTTTTCTACTGGTAGCTCTTTCCTAAATCTTCTTTTCTATTCACCTCCACAAAGCAGGAGAAGCCATTTTAAAAAGCCTAAATTACTTCTCAAAATCTGGAGAAAAATGAAACCAGACAAAAAGAAGAAAGGAATATGAATGAACTTCTATTCCAGACCATGTATCATGCTGACAACATCTGCTATTGGAAAACCCAGATACAATAACCTGAAGAATAAACCACACCATGTTCATTCTTTCCAAAGTATAAGAAAAGTACACTAGCTCCATTTTAGTCAGACTACCCATTACTCTTATATAATCTGGTCTCAACAATAGAATCTAACCAAGCAGAAGGTGCAACAGAGAGCAACTTTGATGTCACATGCAAATCACATCTTTTTTTGGTAAGCCCAACCTTTAATTTTTCAGCTCAAACCCATCTCTATAATAAAGACTTCACTTACTGCCCCTAGCAGACTCTAATGTTTGTCTCTTGTACTTGGCTGCACTTGTTACACACTTTCATGATAGCAATTATCTAGTGGTATTGTAATGGACTATTTGCATGTCTCCTCACTGGATTGTAAATTGGCAAAAATCCTGTCTCATCTTTGAATTCTTTTTTCTTTTTCTTTTTTTTAGCTATAGTGGGCCAAAATACCTTTATTTTATTTATTTATTTTTATGTGGTGCTGAGGATCGAATCCAGTGCCTCGCACATGCTGGGCGAGTGCTCTACCACTGAGCCACAGCCCCAGCCCCTCATCTTTGAATTCTTGATGCATAACACACATAGATTCCTATAATTACATATTAAATGATGAATTTCACCTTCTATTTCACTAGTGATGGCTGAGCAGAAACAGCTGGGGAGACGTTAGAAGGAAACACACAAGCTAAGGTCTGCCAGACCAGACCTCTGTTCTTTCTGGAGCTTGAAGGGGATGACTGTTTCTGCTTCTCAGAGTTACTTTATCTTAAACACACAAAAGAATAGATAGAAATTCAGTTCACATAGAATTTCCAGATAATAGATTATATTCTTTCTCAGAAAATAAAATATGTAACAAGGTTTCTGGGATGAACACAAGTGGTTTCATATAAAGATGACCTCTAGCCAGGCACAGTGGTGCACGCCTGTAATCCCTGTGGCTTGGGAAGCTGAGGCAGGAGGACTGCAAGTTCAAAGCCAGCCTCAGCAACAGCAAGGTGCTAAGCAACTCAGTGAGATCCTGTCTCTAAATAAAATATAAAATAGAGCTGGGGATGTGGCTCAGTGGATGAATGCCCCTGAGTACCAATCAATCCCTGGTACCAAAAAAAAAAAAAAAAAAAAAAATCCTGTAGCCTAACATTCTGGAAGATATATTATACTACTAGTAGCTCTAAAGTCCTTAAACAATACAGAAAAACTAAGAATCAAAAGTTTAAAAAAAAAAAAAAAAAGTCTTACATGAAAACCTTAAGTTCTTTTTCCTCTTCCAAAACTTCTGCTCTACATCTCAATGAACCCTTATATATGCAACTAAATGTCTCTTTGAAAGAGATACATGCAACCTCTAAAAGGAGAGCCCATGACTAACAAACAATAAGCAATAACTTCAATACAGCATTTACTCTCTTCAAGGTGTTTTCAAATATATCTCACTGAACCACAGCCAACTATAATCATAGAATCTTAAAGTAGGAGGAGCCTTGGAAGTCATTTCCACAACCACCCCCACTTTACCAATCTAAAGGTATTCAAACATCTCTAGTTTCTAGTGTTTAGGAGGAAGGAGACAACAGACAATGCTTCAACAGACAGTGCTGGGAACAACCACCTGTCAGTTTCTCAGTCTCTTCCCTTACTTTAATGATCCCAATCATTTAAACTAAGTTAACCCACCATCAAGCAATAGTCTTTGCTTCCTAAGTCCACTTCCTTTTTCTGAGCTTCATCACCAAACTTTCCCCACTCTCCTCCACCAAACACAGACAGGGCCTCTAAAATTCTGACCCCTTAGAGATCCTACTGGTTCCATCTCTGACAACTGATCCTCTTCCTATTATTCTGTGCTGTCTTTATCTACATGCTGTCAAACACAAGACCACAAGCAACTCTATCTATCACTGTCTCTTGAGCCTCAGGATTTTTTTCCCCTTTCCTTCCTCACCTTCTCTCTGCTTCTCAGCCTATCTTTTCATTCCTTTCAAACTCAGTGACTCCTTCCTCCAGTGATTCAAGGTCCACTGACAACTGAATACATCAGTTGTTAAATGCTAATTAGATAGGAAAGGAGACATGCACTCTCAAGTTCACCTTCAAAGAATTTATTTAACAAAATCATAAACCTTTATGATTCAACAAATTCTAGGAGGCTTTCCCTAGCTCAAAATGAATTGGTGTCCTTTTCTCAAGACCACCATTATATTTCTGATGCAATGCCCAATCTTCTTGTCTGTCTCCTGCCACTACACTGTGGGCTCTACATGAGAAGGGACCCTTGTGTCCCTAGTACCTTGCCCAGGACCCGGAACAAAGGTGATACTTAAGTGAATGGATGAATCATTCATTCATCCATTCATACAATCATTCAATCATCCATTCGTTGAACAAAACTTTATGTACATAAACTGTAAGGATGAAATTGAAATAGTTCCTACCTAAAATTAAATCAAAGCTAACATACTTGAGATTAGTACTTTTTCCCCCATCCGCATGCCCAACCCCCACGCCAAGCTTAGAGTCCTCTCCCACAGAGAAAGCCCGGCCTTCCATTGCAGAAGTCCACGCCCCTTCAACTCTAAAGCTACCTCTCAGACCTTTAGTTCTACCCTAGGACCCCCCAACTAATAATCTCAAAATCTTAACATTTCCATCCGTCCAGGCTTTCTCTCTGTCCTTCATTTACATTTCTGAAGCTACTGCATGTCTTCTACCCCCAAGACCACCTCAGGGCGCCCGAGTCAAGAGAACCTCAGATTTCCTTCATCCCGCCCCCCAGTCAGCTCCTTCTTCCCTCTCAGGACCCTTCCCGTTTCTCCTAGGACCTCCTTTCTCTAACACCTCACTGCCCCTTCCTTCGCTTTCAGGCTGTCTCTTCTTTCCTTGTCTCTCATCTCCTCTTACCTCATCTAGCTCCCGTTCCGCCGCAGCACCTCCTCCAACCTCCACCTCCACTACTGCCGCCATCTTCAGGTTCACCCCCTCCCTCCTCCCCGCGCAAGCCAGCTGCTTCCGCCGCTCATTTGCTCTTAGCCAATCAGCGGCGGGGACTCTAGCGGGGGGGCGGAGCACCAAGACTTGGGGGCACACCTGTCAGGGACCGAGACGTTTTGCTACTTCTTTTAGATTTAGAAAGGAGGAGTCCCGTACACTTCGAAGCTTCCTCGGGGAATCGTTCTTGGAAAGTGAGAAATTTCGCCTACATTATTTTTAGTGCAATTATTTCTCCAGTTATTCCCTTTGGAGAATCAAAGAGAAGAACCCCTAAGCCAGCAACTTTCGCGACACTCCCTGACGTGGGCTCCAGGAGCGCAGCGTGGAGACTCAGGACTACATTTCCCATACTACACCGAATCTAACCCGGAGGTTCAAATTGCGCTCTCTCGACTCGAGAATTAAAGTGAAAAATATACATTAAAAACACATGCAAGTGTATTTTTCTGGCTGTAGCACCAGTTGCCTTGCCTCGGTGGGAATCGTTTTACAGGAACAGCGGCTAGTTTAGGTTCCAGAACGCGTTCCTGAGCTTCAACGGGCCAAGTGTGTTACCAGGATCAGAAGGCGGAAGCCAGAGGACCAAATTGGCGGGAGAATGTTTGTGATCCACGACCAGAGGCGCGGTATAACTTCTTGAGGTTCCTGGTCTCGGGTGAGGAGCGTTGGGGTTTGTTGACCCGGAGCGTAGTAGCCGAAGGGTGGTGGTGGGGGGAGGTGGCATCAAAGAAGTGGACAAAGCAGCGTGTTCGGGATTCTTCAGATTCAGGGCAGCAGAGGCTGTCATTGCTATTTCACACATCTTAATACTCTTTCCTGCCCCACATTCTGCTTCCCCAGCTCTCACCTTTACCCGCTTTCTGCACACCCCACCTCCACTTAGACCTTCTTAACTGATTTTCAGCACCCTACTTTTCGTATGTCTGAATTCGTTAGCTTGCAGACCTGTAACCCAGCGCACACGCCCCCTCAGCGTCCAGTCTGGATCTATTGATGATAGATCAACTCCAGGATGACCTGTGAGTTCAGAAAACCTAGAATGCCAGCCGACTTTATTTGGGGGCCAACAGGAACTTACAGGTTAATATTTACTACCTACAGACATCTCAATTACTTTAAACAATAACTTTTATTATGTGAAGCTTTTTTTTTTTAATTTTTAGCGGACACAACATCTTTGTTTGTATGTGGTGCTGAGGATCCAACCCTGGCCGCACGCATGCCAGGCGAGCGCGCTACCGCTTGAGCCACATCCCCAGTCTGTGAAAGTTTTATATATGGAAATTATTAATAGAATATTACAAACAATGTATTCTCAGCACACCAGATTGACTATTGATATGATATATTTGCTTCCTGGTTTTTTAAAAGGTTAATATAGAAAAAAATTGAATTTAATCTGTGTCTTTTATTCTCAGATCCATTACCCTCTCATCAGCAATAAAAACAAATTTTATTATAAATTAGCTGTGTGTTTTATTCAGCCCATTTAAAAAAATTATATGTGTATCCTTAAATGATACATAGTGTTGCTTTTATTTTTTTTACTTTTGTGGTACCTGGTATGGAACCCAGGACCTTGCGCATGCTAGGCAAGTGCCCTACCATGGTGCTACATCCCAGATCCTGATTTTGTTTTTTTAATGAACACAAATGCTGTTTTCTATATATCACCCCCTAACTTCATTCTTTCACTATTATTTTTAAAGCCTATATAGATGTATATTTACATCCAATTCATTCCTAACCATTGTACTGTGCTCTTTTTTATGATGTATAATATTTCCTTTGTCCATTCCTTTTTTTTTTATATCAGAAACAATGTGTCTTTATGCACATGTGAGTCTCCAGAGCTGCTGTTCAAATAAGTTAAATACTAGCCACATGTGACTATTCTTGCAATGTGGCTCCTTAGAATTAATATGTGCTGAAAGTGTTTATGAGGGGAATCATTTCCCCACATTATTGCCATTCCTTTATGTTGTAAGATTGGCTGGGGTTATTGGGGGTTAAACTCAGAGGCACTTTTACCACTGAGCTACATCCCAATCCCTTTTTTATATTTTTATTTTAAGACAAAGTCTCACTAAGTTGCCTAGGGCTTTGCGAGGTTGCTGAGGCTGGCCTAGAACTTGTGATCCTCCTTTCTCAGCCTCCTTGGCCACTAGGATTATAGACGTGATCCGCTGTGCCTGGCTATTATCAGACTTTTAAGTTTTTTGCCAGTCTTAGAGGAAAGAAATATATTTGCAATTTCCTTATTACCAGGCTATGAGTTTTTCTATATGGACACTCGTTCATTCAGATTTCACCTTATGTGAATTGCATCTTCTACCCAGTTTTCTATTGGTTTGCTTATTCTTACTGATTTGTAGGTTTTAAAAAAATATACTTGGAATACTAGCCAAGTTTACATGTGTTGTAAGTAACCTTTTTCTTAGCCATCTGTATTTTAACCTAGTTTATGTTGTCTTAAAGTATTGTTATTCATGTTTCCATCTTTGATCCACTGGTGTGTGTGTATATATATATATATATATATATAGAGAGAGAGAGAGAGAGAGAGAGAGAGAGACACACACACAAATATATGCCATATATATATTTCTTTTTTATGGTACTGGGGATTTAACCAAGGGGTATTTTACCACTAAGCCACATCCGTAGCCCTTTTTGTTTTTTATTTTGAGACAGGGTCTTGCTAGGTTGCTGAAGCTAGACTTGAACATGCATTTCTCCTGCCTCAGCTTCCCAAGTTGCTGGGAATACAGGCGTGGAGCACCGCACCCTGCTGGGGTATAATTTTTTAAATAGTTGCAAGATAGGGATCTATTTTCATTTTTCTTTACATTGTCAACCAATTTTCTGAATACCTTGACTATATATATTACCTCATCTTTTTCTAAAAGAATTACTATCCTGCTCTATCTTACAGTTGGTGGATATGAGTTCTCATCTATACCAGTGTTTCTAGAATCTATTTGCCTATTTCTATAGACAGTATGTTCTAATTACTAAACTTTATGATTTTTTCAAAAAATTTGATACCCTACCTCTTTCATCTTTCTTTTTGGAAACATCTTAGCAATTTGTAACCTTTAATTGATTGTTGAGTTTTCAGGTTGCCAGAAATATCTGTTGAAATTCTAATTGGAGTTATATAATATCCTCTTCTTTCAGTGAATATTTATTAGTGCCTACGGTGTTTAGACCATCTCTGAGATGTAGAAGATGATGAACATGACAAAAATCCATATCCTCAAGAAGCAAGAAGGGACATAGGGTAAACAGTTACCAAAAAGCCCCAGAAACAACAGCATTTGTAAGGGCAAGGAGGTCTGTAAGAACTTAATCTCTTGGGCAATTTGATTATCTTCTTACAAAAGATTGTATGTGTCATTCACCACTGTGTTTCCAACACCTAATACAATGCCTGATACCTACTAGGAACTCCCCAAATATTAACAAAACAAAATCAAATATCCAAAATCAACAACTTCGGGGTTCCCAAGCCACTGATTTTCAACACCTTGTTCTTCGTATGTCTGAATTCATTAGCTTGCAGATCTGTAACCCTAGCTCACACGCCCTCTCAGTGTCCAGCCTGGATCTATTGAGTGAATAGAACTAGGATGCACCAGTGGCGCACACCTGTAATCCCAGCAGCTCAGGAGGCTGAGACAGGAGGATTATGAGTTCAAAGCCAGCCTCAGCAAAAAGCAGGGTGCTGAGCAACTCAGTGAGACCCCTGTCTCTAAATAAAATACAAAATAGGGCTGGGGATGTGGCTTAGGGCTTGTTAAATCAGATATCTGTTTGATGGTAATGAAAAAATGATGTTTTTCTATCACAAATATATTACAGGTAAAGCATCCCTTATAGGAAATGCTGGGCCCAGAAGTGTTTTGGATTTTTTGATTTTTCAGATTTTGAATATTTGCATATACTTCATGAGGATAACACCCATTTTTAAACTGAAATTCATTTATGTTTTGTATATACCTTATACCTGAAGTGATTTTATGCAGTAATTTTAGTCACCTGCATTTTCATTGAAATCTGTCACAGGAGGTCAGATGTAGCATTTCCACTGTGACATCATGGTGGTGCTAAAAAAGTGGCATATTTTGTCATATTTTAGATTTTAAGTTTAAGGATGCACAACCTGTACTGTGAGTTTATCTAAAACAGATTATATCTAATTCTGATGTTTTCAATATCTCACAGAGAATAATAAAAATTTGAATGTCCAGTGAGTTCCCATTCCGGGACTAATCAGTTTCATAAATCTGGTGAACTTGCTGGGTGTGATGTCACATACCTGTAATCCCAGAAACTCAGGAAGCTGAGGCAAGAGAATGGAAAGTTCAAAGCCAGCCTCAGCAATTTAGTGAGGCTCTGAGGAACTTAGACTCTGTCTAAATAAAAAATAAAAAGGGCTGGGATGTGGCTTACTGGTTAAGCACCCTGGGTTCAATTCCTGATACAAATAAACAAACACAGGGCTGGGGATGTGGCTCAAGTGGTAGCGTGCTCGCCTGGCATGCGTGCGGCCCGGGTTCGATCCTCAGCACTACATACAAAGATGTTGTGTCCGCCGAAAACTAAAAAATAAATATTAAAAATTCTCTCTCTCTCTCTCCCTCCCTCTCTCACTCGATCTTTAAAAAAAAAAAAAAACAAAAAAAAAACCAAATAAACAAACACACCTGGAGCCAATGGTGCACACCTGTAATCCCAGCAGCTCAGGAGGCTGAGACAGGAGGATTATGAGTTTAAAACCAGCTTCAGCAAAAATCAGAATGCTGAGCAACTCAGTGAGACCCTATCTCTAAATAAAATACAAAATAGGGCTGGGGATGTGGCTCAGTGGCCCAGTGGCTCAGTGCCCATGAGTTTAATACCTGGTACCAAATAAAAAAAAACACCTGGAGGACTAAAGAGGTGACTCAGGACTCATCCTTCATTCTTCTGTCTTTGAAGCCTTAAC